GGTGGGAGGCTTGGGTGGGGGGGGGGGACAGCCCCCTGGCCCACCCTGGGAGGGGGGTTGAGGGGTGGGGATGTGTGGAACCCCAGAAGGAGCTTTGGGGAAGATCAGGCTCCTGGGAAGAAGCTCGGTTGGGTGAGCTGAACCAGAGATGCTGCGCGTCCAGGGGGGTGGCTGCTCGCGGTTGGGTACGTTGTCGCCTCAGTGTCCCCTCCCTGTGTCTTCACACAGTGCATGTTGATCTTCATCATTGGAGGCTTGGTCATCCTGGGGTACTGCTCGCAGGCCAGCAACGAGCGCACCTACCAGGAGGTGGTGTGGGCTGTGTGTGGGAAGGTGCCTGGTGTCCTCTGCGAGGTGGCCATCGCCGTCTACACCTTCGGCACCTGCATCGCCTTCCTCATCATCATCGGAGACCAGGAGGACAAGAGTAAGTGTTTCCCCTGGGGGGAGGGAAATAACCCTTGGGTTGTTTGGGACAACCTGACCACTTTGCTTGTCCCCACAGTCATTGCTGCTCTGGTGACAGAGCCCGGGGAAGGTGGGAGCAGCCGCTGGTACACGGACCGCAAGTTCACCATCAGCGTCACTGCCTCCCTCCTCATCCTGCCCCTCTCCATCCCCAAGGAGATCGGCTTCCAAAAATATGCCAGGTGGGAAGGGAGAGAGCCCCTCCAGGGCTGGGAGCCAGGCTGGGGCTGCCAGGACCCACCCGTGCCTGGTCCCACAGGGGTGGGCAGCAGAAACGCTGCGGTTCCAGCGCTGGTATCTGAGGGGTTGGAGATGTCCTGCCTTCCCGTGCCTCAGTTTCCCCAGTTGGGGAGGGGAAGCTGAGCACCCTGTGGGCACAGTGTCATAGCCAGGGCTCGTGTGCCCTTCTTCTGCTCCCCAGAGAAAGCGGGGCCTTCAACTGCCTTGTCCCCTTGTCTTGGGAGTTGGCCATTCAGAAAGGAGAGTCAGGAAGGGTCCTGGACTGGGTGGCACTCCCAGCAGCACAGACACCCCAGCAGGGTTGTGTTGGCCACTGTCTGGGGACAGTAGGTGACAGTGCCTGGGTGGCTTGGGCTGTGCAGGGAGGAAGATGGGGCTGGAGAGGCTGAAGAACAACCTTTGCAGAGGGCAAGACAAGGCACTGATGGTCTCCTGTCCCCTCCTGCAGCTCCTTGAGTGTGATTGGCACCTGGTATGTCACAGCAGTCATCATCATCAAGTACATCTGGCCCGACAAGGAGCTCACCCCTGTGGAGATCCCCACCAGGTGAATGCAAGGGCACCTCCTGCTGATGGTGGCCATCACAGCTCTGCAGAGCCAGGCAGGGGGCCTGGAGGGAGGGCTGGGGACAGATCCTTCACCAGTCACAGAATGGTTTGAGTTGGAAGGGACCTTAAAGATCATCTGGTCCCATCCCTGGGCCTGGGGACACTGTGTGGTGCTGCCAGGAGCTCCTGAGGGGGCTGCATCTCTGCATGTTTCAGAGGAGGTGGCCAAGGAGAGGAAAAAGACCCCTTGGAGGTCCCCGTGGCAGGTTTTGAGGAGAGCTGATTGACTTTTGGCTCCAACACAACGGGGCCTGGAGCTCCCCACGAGCCTGGTCTCACCCAACAGCCAGGATGTCTCTCCCCTAGGATGATCCTGGTTATTTCCTTGGCCACCACAGCCCCTGTGGCTTGTCTGTCTGTCACGGGTTGGGGACATTTATGGAGCCAGTGTGAGAAGTGGGAATTCTAAGGCCAAACTCTGGAAGAGTTTTTTTGGCACTACCCAAGTAGATCCTTGCTTATTTTACTGATCCTTAGATTTTTGAAAGTCCTCAACTTCCAAAACCAACCTCAACGTTGGTTGGTTCCATCTCCGTGCCAGACCCTGGGCTTCCCAGGCCCTGGGAAAACCTTGCTCCACGGAAAGACACCATCCTGGGTGGGGGTACAGGGTGACTGGGCAGGTCAGCAGAGGAGGGAGCCCATCGTGGAGCACCCCTAGGCCACAGGGTAGGGACATGGGGGGCCTTGGGCTGATGGTGGGTGTTTCTGTCCCCCCAGCCCCTCCACCTGGACAGCTGTCTTCAATGCTGTGCCCACCATCTGCTTTGGATTCCAGGTAAGGCCATGAGCCCAGGACTCCCCTCCCCACCCTGCCACACACCTGGGGGGACACCAGCATGGTCCAGGAATGGTCCTTTGGGTTGTTCATCCAAAAACCCTCCCTGGCTGCTTTTACATCTCACCCCCCCTGGATGGAGACGGATCAATTTTACCCCGGCTTGGGCAGGCCAGGGCAGCCTGTCCCACCCTTTGCTTCTCCTGGGGATGTCAGGGAGGAGGTCCCACCTGGCTGGCTGTGGCTGCAGCACAGCCCATGTCCCTGCTCTCTCTCCATGCCCCTGGCAGTGCCACGTCAGCAGCGTGCCCGTCTTCAACAGCATGAGGCAGCCAGAGGTGAAGACCTGGGGGGCGGTGGTGACGGCGGCCATGGTGATCGCTCTGTTCGTCTACACGGGCACTGGTGAGCCAGGGGGTGCAGGGATGTTCTGGGGGTGCAGGATGGTCCTCAGAGGGGCTGGGAGCTTCTGGAGGGCTGGCAGCTTCTGGTCAGAGGGTCATGGAATAGTTTGGGTTGGAAGGGACTTTCAAGATCATCCAGTCCCACCCCCTGCATGGGCAGGGACACCTCCCACCAGCCCAGGCTGCTCCAAGCCCCATTCAACCTGCCCTTCAACACTGCCAGGGATGGGGCACCCACAGCTTCCCTGGGCAACCTGGGCCAGGCTCTCACCACCCTCACACCAAACAATTTCCTCCTCATGTCCAACCTCAATCTCCCTCTTCCAGTTTTAATCCTTTCTCCCTTGTCCTCTCCCTCCCTGCCCTTGTCCCAAGCCCCTCCCCAGCTTTCCTGGAGCCCCTTCAGGCCCTGGAAGCTGCTCTAAGGTCTCCCTGGAGCCTTCTCTTCTCCAGACTGAACACCCCAACTCTCCCAGCCTGGCTCCAGAGCAGAGCTGCTCCAGCCCTTGGATCATCTCTGTGGCCTCCTCTGGGCTCTCTCCAGGAGCTCCACGTTTTTCTTATGTTGGGGTCTCCATAACTGAACACAGTCCCCAAGTGGGGTCTCACCAGAGCAGAGGGGACAATCCTCTCCCTGGTCCTGCTGGCCAGGCAGTGACACAGCCCAGGTCACAGTTGGCAGCAGAGGGACAGAGCAGGCAGGGAGCACCATCCATTCACCTCCTGCTAGAAGCCACCCAAGTCTAGTCCCCCCAACCCACCTGCAGGTTTGTCCCCCACCCTCTGCTGACTCCTCCCTTCCTGGCAGGAGTCTGTGGCTTCCTGACTTTTGGAGCTGGCGTGGATCAGGATGTCTTGCTGTCCTACCCTTCCAACGACATCCCTGTTGCCCTGGCCAGGGCCTTCATCATCCTCTGTGTCCTCACCTCCTACCCCATCCTGCACTTCTGCGGCCGGTGGG